CTTGGCATTATAAAATGCCTCCGAATGGAGTTGCATGGGGGCATCCCTGTGTGTGAGCTTTTATCACCCAGCAGCCGCCCAACTAGCCAAAGAAGTCACCTCTTGGCCCCGCAATAATGTGGCGACGACGATTATTTATGATAATTACCCACGAAACACATTCATTCAGGTGATAGGACACACATCGCGCCACAAATGTTCCCACGGAATTTGTTAATTGAAAACTTTCACGGAATCATCAACATAACCTTTTTAATTAATTAACAGACCCAGAGAGCCAGAGAGGAATACTCGTAGTCAGCCACCAAAGTGAGTCGATGGATCGCACATTTTGGAAACACCTTCACAAATGGACATCTCCACGGTGCTTCGTTATTTGACTTTTGATGATGATGGGTATGCCTCATCTTCGGCCCATGCTGGACTCTTTCCCAACTTAATTGTTAATGGACAGCCACACACAGTCGCTCTTGATGAACTTCTTCCTCCCATTGAGTGTATAATTGATAACAAAGTGAGAGAAGACCCATTCGGTGTTTCGCTTTTTTCACCATCGCGTTTCGTGTGTGTTTTTGAATTTATTGAACACCCGAGAAAGACTTTCATTAGTGGTGTAGTTATTTTTCACATATCGAGACTCTGCGGGAAAACGGAAGTGAAAGATTCCCAAAAGGCATCTTCTTTTGCGCTAAACTCACGCGAAAATATAATAAAGATTTATTGGTAAGAGCGCGGAAAGTATAAACAATCACGCCAAATAAAAAAGAAGATGGTATAATAGGCAAATTATTGTCGAAACTTTAATATTTCACGTAAATTGTGTATTTGCTTTCGTTCTATCACTTGAGAAAACCGCACATTTTCTCTTCAATATGTTCCATTGTGTTCTCTCATTTTGTGTTGCCCTTAAGTTGCATAGTTGGAAAAGACATTTGAGCAAGAGCGATAATATCTGCAGCTCTAGATTTCCGCCACCAAAGATCCCGTAGAGTTTCCTCTCTGGGGCGCAACAGAACAAAGGGCAGAATCGGCGGCATTTGGTAAAATGTTTTACACATCTCTGTGGCGTTGGTGAAAGACAAAAAATAACAGAAGGCCCATAAAGATGGACAAAGTCGAGCCAGTGCAAATGAAGAGACTCATAAATCGCAACAAAGTGCTGGATTTCATCCATCCTCCCTTCACAAATCTCACCCTTCTCGAAGCAAGGTGTACGCACAGGTTTTTTTTCTTCTTAGGTCTCTCTGGACCTTTCATGGTTGCGTCGGGAGGAACTTAAGGACTCGGGTGTGTGCAATAAAACACCAAGAGCAACGACATCCACCAAACACACCGGCAAACAATGGGAGTGACAAGGTGGCGACACGGAATTGCGTCAGGTGACACTGCGACAGGGCTTTTCACCCTCGCCGCACAACATGAGTCGCCTCTGCACCCTGAATTGGGATGAGAAAACTACCTATCTTGATTGTGCCGAGGACAAAAGGCATCTGTAAGCTGTAATCGATACTGCAATTATTACCCGAATCAAAAGTGTCACTGATAAAAATGATTTATTCACTGCATAAAAGATTCAACAGTACGTTTTGTCCAACACACGATTTTACTATATTAAAAATATCATATCCTGAATAATATAAAAATAGTTAAAAAGAGAAACAAATAATAATTAGAGAAAACAAAGCTTTCAGATTCACGTGATCTCGCATTCTTTCTGAGAAATTTCTTTCATGGGAACATTCTTCAATATATTGAATAAACTAATGGAATTATCAACAAATTTAACGCAATTCACTCTATTAAAACATTTTGAAAAATTAGAACATTTTTCAAGGTGAATATTGATATGGGAACTGTTTTTCCAAATAATTTTTCTCAGGCCCAAAAAATTTGTGCTCGTGAAACTGCAATTATCATAAGCTTCAACTTATTTTATATCCGTGAAAATTCTAGCTGAATAAAATGAATAGAGAATAGTGCTTCTTAAAGGTTTATGTATTATTTATTGTGTATTCATTGGTAAAATGAATCCATTTCATAATATTATCCACCACTTAATTTGAACTTCGTTACAAATTTATCAGTGAAAATAGTGTGAAACCGTGAAAGAGTGGCAATCTAATTATCAAGTGCAAAACACAATAAATCATGAAAATAGAATTAAAAACGCAAAATGGTGAAATTTATTACATTTTGTGCAAACACACGGCATTATAGACAGTGTCAAAAACAAATAGGAAACACTTGCTGTTTTCACAACTTTCAATACACTATCAAGAAATCACCAATTAGCATTAATTTGCACGTATAATGGCTCGCCACCCAGACTTGCGCTTCTTTTTTCGTTGGTGGTAAAACATATTTTTAATTTTTGCAGGAAGAAATTAAATATTTCTCAATTTACACTTCTCTATGCTGTGGATGTTCCGACGTGGGAATTTTCACATTTCCACTCTCGTCAATTTCTGTGGGACGCCAAGAAAGTCGACGAGAGAATTTATGTATGCTGAGAAGTTTGCATATTTGGTCATTGGAAAGTCCTTTGACACAGCGGCAAAAAATATTGTCCTGATCCTGTGGCTCTTTATTGTTGCGTGATCGATTCGAATGAATGCAGGAATCGTGTTCTGAACGTACTTTATGGCTGAAATTACCTATTCCAGTGCATTTCAAGCATTGCATTCTACCATATAATTTTTCCCAATGGCCAGTAAGTGCGTAAGGATTGGAGTGAAGAAGGAGGAAGTCCCTGCGAGTCACACATCTGCTCCACGAGGCACTTTATCACAGTGCTCTCTTAACCCCCAGATTGACGATGAGTGTGTCGTGCTCGGGGGCCGAGAAGAAGGAGATGCTGTGGAAAAGTATCTCGCGAAGAGGAAACTCCCCTTCGCGATAAAAATCAATTTCTCAGTTCCACCACGCTAATAAAAACATTCCCAAAGAGTTTCTCAAGGTGGGAATAGGGCGAACGAGATGGGCAACAAATGAGAAGACTCTCGCAGAATCACCAAACGATATGAAGGCGAGCGAGGACAATCGAAGGGCGGATGAGTTGGTGAGAAATTGTGTAGCAGATAAAAAAAAATCCTGGAGCACCGGCCACGGAAGATGAGGGCAGAGAGAGAATTGAGCAAAATCTCCAGACTTCTTAAATTATATTATTTCACTTTATGACGTCCTCGCGCAGTTCTTCCAGCCATTCGCATTCGGGCCCAGAACTCCTCGCACAATTTTTAACAAGCGCCAGGGAATAAATCGTAATCTCTGAATGAGAGATGTGCAAACAATGCTGGCGCCTTGTCCGCATTCCCTTTTGCCAGCTCTTCTTCGGTACATTAATTCCAGCATGACTCTTACATGTTGGCTGCACATTGGATGTTGCCTTTGGGACCCGGCGGCCCGATGATATGGTCATTCTCTGGCCACCATGTCGCCTCCAACGGTGGAGAATTGGAGCCTCCATCGTGTGTGAATAAATTGTTTGTGTGTTCAGCAGAAAGGGCAGATGAAAGAGCAAACACAAGCCAGAGAGAACCAACGAAAAAAGCGACCGAGAGACAGGGATTTGAACATATTATGAAGTCGTCATCATCAGGAAGTGATTTTTTGCACGTTCCACAAATTGCAAAATTGCACAAAAAGACGCTAATCGGAGTGTTTGGAAGAGGCTGCTGCGAAGGGAGAGGAGATTGCTCCACAGACACGAAATCACTCTCAAAGCCATTTACTTTGTCTTCAAACATCTCAAGAAACTAATCAATGCGTCTTTTAATTGCTATTCCGCACAATTATGCAATAAGAATTGATTATCTCAAAGTTTTTAAACATTCAAGAGAAAGTAGAGATCCAAAATTTAGGGATGGGACTCATTGATCTCTAGAAAAAAAGGCCTCTTCGAGTAGATTACTGGGCAATTGACACAGGAAGGAATAAAAGCAAATACTCTCCGTTGGGTGAATATTCCACTTCCTCTTGGAATACTTCACTTATCAAGCCCAGCAGAGCCCAACTAATATGATATTCATGTATTAGTAAAATAGTTTTTGGGGTAGTGAAGGGAAAAACCCAAATACACTTTATTCAAGCAAGCCAGTGAAAATAAATAATAATATTTTCGGTGTTTTTCTTTTACAACCAGCTTCACAGATAACCTCCCAAAGTATTTGCATGTAAAATTTGACTTTAGTGGCAGAAAGAGGAAAATGATGAGAGGGAATTTACACTAAGCAAATAAACCATCAAGTGCTTTCCACATATTTATCAGTTTCACTTTTTTCCTCGCTCGTCTCGACCTCGCCGTGGATGGTAGTTTTTCGTGAATATTATCACTATGGCGAAAAGGGATGATTAAATAGACGCCCAAGTTGAGGAAAATACAAAAATAAAATATTGCTTGCGGCTCTTTTTGCTATGTTATCTTTTGCGTGGTGTTATCGCATTTGAATAGAATCCTAAATTCTTTTTTTTCCCCCGTTTATTACACCCAATCTCACAGCAGCATACATTAAATACACACATATTTATGTGCGTAAAATACCACGCCAGAAGAGAGCAATATTATAAATAAAGTTTTTGAAAACACCCCCAGAAATACTCCTTTTCCAGGCCCGATAGCGATGGTAGGGTGGTGCCAGAAAAATCAAATTAGAGACTATACTTTTCGAATTCACGTTAACCCCCGTTCTGAATAAATAAGGTGTTGGTGATTCTCATTAATTTGATATCTTGAGCAAACAATTGGGCACGAGTATGACGCCGCCCCCACGAAATATTTCCAATTCCCCGGCTCTGTAATTAGGGCCAAAATGAACCAAGTACTGTCTAAATAGTAATTCATACAAATTTATATCCCGTCAAGTGAACTTTTAACAAACTTGTTTCTACCCTAAATTCAATATAATTTATTGCTCAAAAATGTACAACAACTTGGCTCAATTTCCATGTGTTTCAGGGTGGTTTATGGGCTGAATGGGTAAAAGTTGAGAAAATTAACTTACCTGCCACTCTTTGTGATGATCATTTCGGTGCCGTGCGGAGAGAAACTATTCCACAACTCGTAGTTCTGCAACTTCGCCTCTATTCCAGTCAACGTGAATGCCGGCGGCAGAAAGTGTCTCGAAGGCGGTGGGACCGGCAACATGGTCGGATATGGATCTATAAGTGCAGAAGAAGAGGTTTAATGTGTGAAAAGCACTACGCCAATTATTCATTCTTTAATAATGACATTAAATATAATTTATTAATATTAGACAATTACTGTGTGACTATGAAAATTGTGCTTCAACAGTATTAATAGTAAAATATGCAGAATAAATTAATTTCTAATCCTAAAGTTATCTAAAATTTTCTTTTTTAGTAATTTTCTTCTTCCTTTAAGCACTATTGCAAATAAGTGTATATGTTTTCATTCCTCTATAAACTCTTTACGGCTGTAAATTTGTCGCCTTGTCTAATTGTTGAGTTTAAGTGCAAGCAAGCAATTACATTGATAAATATTTTGCGCAGACGATGGAAGAAGCAGAAAATAAATGGTAAAACATATTGAGAAATTCATGGGAATAAATATTAAATAATCTGCGTCATTAATAATCTTCCTCTAAGGAAACGGGCAATTCCAAGAATGCGATATGAATGTTTAATTCCCATTGGAGAGCTCTCAACATTTATTTAATCAATATTCCCATATTAAAAGAACTTGTCAGTAAGACATTAGAGTGTAGTGAACAGCATGAAGTCAACAGTGCACACATTAAACATTATTGTTTCGGAAAAATCAAAATGTTTTATTAAAATCTGATCATGAAAGTCTGCGCTCGTTCAGGTTGTCAAATGTTCTTTGCTCTCTGGAGTGAAACGCATGAAGAAAATTTGAGGAGGAAGTGAATTGTCAGACTTCTCAAAAGTTTCCATACACTTAGACCCGAGTGAGAATTCGATAGTGTGAATGGATTGGAAAAGGTGTAAGAGTGAGAGAGCAGGTGGTTAGAACCCGTGTCTCTGTGCACATAAATAATAATCGTCTGAGTATTTTTATTTGTCCAAGAGAGGAATAAGATTCAAGACGTGAAGCACCAACAAATGCCATTTGTAGCTTGTATTGTAGATAATTGTGAGAATCAACAATGGAGATTCATTACACCTCATCTTGGTGGTCCACGGTTTAAATAAGAGTTTCATGAACTACATTTAACCAATAATGTGGGTATTTTTCCTTCCTTATTTGCTTCAATTCTATACACGAAAGTGTTAAAATTGTAGATGGAATAGTAAAGAAAATGTGTCTTATTGGATGTTATATTTCTTTATCGTGTATCTTCATTCAAGAGTTTTTCTCTTAATAAAATGAAACAATAGTGATTTGTAGAAAGCTTGGGACATTTTTCATTCAGTCAAACACATTTGCGTAGCAAGAAAAGTGTTTGTCTCCAAAATTATGAGCAAACTATTAAAAATTGTCTTTGTATCTTCGAAGAAAAACACGCTCGCTCGTAGTCTTGTTAAGTTAGTGTTAATTATGTGATTTTCTTTATTTCAGCTGCTTATACATATATAATAGACAGCTGGTAATAAACTTTTTTCTTACTCAATTTGTCCATTACTGATTCATCAATAATTTCATGTCTTTACTACAGATTTTTTTTTTTATTTTTATGTAGGGAAAGATGGGGCAGCTTTGTACAATGGGGCACCGTTGTAATTGATGATTTTCTTCGTAAAATCACAAGGATTCATTTTCTATTTTCTCTATAGAAACTAAGATCGTTAGGCAGTTCACTAGAAGCTACAAACAGCGGCTTCAAAATATTTAATAATGTATACGAGATAATCCTCAAATACAGTAGTGCCCCGTTGTGCAATGCTGTCCCACCTCATCCTATTCTACGCTAACTTACCTGGTAGTCTCTGCAGGATCTGCTGCCGGTAAATCTCCTGCGCAATATGCTGATGCATACGATATTCCGCCAGTTCACCCATTTTACTTATTCCAAAAATGTCTCTCAAGTCCGATAGTCTGATGTTTAGTCAGAATAAATCACAACTGTTCACTTCTTTCTAAAGTTATTGACCGAATTACCAGTGTTCAGAATATCATATCCACTTGTACACTCTCGCTTCAGTCTTGAGTCCCTGGTATCAAGCTCTAATCCTCTTGTTTGATACGGATTAAGTGATGGCTTTCAGATACTATAGTCAGCATGAAAAACACTTAATATCGTTGAACTCACTCCAATGAATAATGAGCGCGACAAGGCGAAAGAGTGTATTTTGCCTGTCCAATCAATTAATTAAGGCGCTATTATAGGCAGAAAAGTCATGTAGTTGCTTAGTGTTGATTCTGTTTTATTCACTCACACCTAAATGCATGTACTACTGAGAGTGTGATATATGTATCTCCTGCTCTGTACATAATTGTGCAAAAATCAATTTTTCCAACACGACACACTCGGCCATAAAATGATTCTACACTGCTGCGTGTCCGCGCGTTGTGCATACGAGGGGTTGACAGGGTGTTGTTTGTGGGATATTGACACTAGGGTGGAGGGTCACTGTGTGCTCCTTTCCCTTCACACGGCCGACGAAGCGCTCGAAGACGAAACTGTCACGTCCATTGCACTCAGCAGTCGTCCAACAACTGGTGAGAAAGGCGACTGAAGATTGGCTGTGCCCCTGCCACTCGTTCCGGCTGCCCGTGGTCGTTGATATTTGAATGGCGCGCCGCAGCCGGGAAGCCACACCAAACGGTGTGATGTTGCGCACTCTCGCAGCAACACTTTGTAGGGGAAGCGCGCTCTCTGCCCGCCGATTCTCTCGCCCAGACACCACACCGCGATTGGTCGGGACCACCATCAGCGACCACGCCCCGCCGGCAAGCGGTCGTGGCAATGCAATGGCGCAACAGAACGTCACGTCCGTTCGGCCGGCCGCGCCGGTCCTTTTGCTCCCACTAGCCAAATCGCACGCCATGCGCGATGGGCAAACAGTCGCTGATCTGTTAATAATGTGACACGATGCTTAATTGAATGCCGCGATTCCATGTCACTTTTCCTCTGATGAATGCCGCGCCGACACAAAAGAAATTTCATACTTCATACATCTTCGCCACTTGACACCTGAAATCAATGAAGGAAGTCACTCATATTTCTTTTTTCTCCACCACGAAGTTCTGGGCTAGGGGCTGAGCGCTTGAAAAAGCTGTTGGAAGCAAGGCTGGCAGAGAGCGAAGGGGAGAGAAGTGCGTCTCAACACGTGGCTTTGATTATTTTTGATACGCTCACGAATTTGAATGTAATTCGTATTGACATAGGAAATTATATTTTATTAATGTTAGAAAATTAAGATAATAAAAAGCACCAGCAATCGATCTGGTCCTAAGAAAATTACAGAAAAACAAATTGTATATTCTAAGGAAATAATCAATAGATAATAGCAGATAATTTTTCAACTAATGAAATCTCGAAAAAGCTAGTTTGAACTAAGCAAAGGAGAAGAAAAATCGAGTAATTTGTCGCAGAATATAAATTTGAGAAATAATCGCAGTTTTCACATCTTGCGAGGCTAAATAAGCCCAAAATTCTCTTAAATATATCAATTTTTCTTCTAGTTATAAAGACATACAATTTGAAATTAAGAATCATTGAAAAAAGTTTGGATTATCTCCTAAAACAAGATTGTTCAACATGATATGTAACATGTATATTTATAGAAAATATTTACTGTATTAATGGAGCCACAAAAAATATTATTTTACACGAGCACATCTTTCTCAGAAACAATTTCAGGCGGAATTTAAAAGAAAAATGTTTTAATTACACAAAATTCTGTTTCCAGAGATCTAAATGTCTTAATCTTGTTCTCTATTCTTACTCTATGGCCTAACAAAAAGCCAATTTGTTGTGTTGTGATAGCGGATTATTAACACAAGCGATTACCTAAATTACGGAACAAATCATTATGGATTTAACACAGTAAATTACAATATTTTCTCCCTCGTTCTTTCATCTCTTACCCACTCTATTGATCTACAAAGATTTCGAATTATTGGCCGTTTTCCTTGCTCGTGAATTGTTCCTTTCGTATAGAATGATTTTATAAAATTATGTGGAGAATAATTAATCAGCAGTTTGCGTAGCAGAGCTTGAAAATTGCATATAAAAATGCAATTTTCTCTCAATAAAGTGTAATTATGTAGGCACTTGAAACAGTAAAAGAGTAAGGAGCACAGCAGGGTCATGTTTCGTGATTTTGAAGAAATAGAGAATTTTAGAAGGAAAAATTACATCATAATGAACACAATTATTACTCCTTGCAAAAGTATGTTAAGACCGAGGTTGAGCTTCTACAATGCAAAAACATGCACTTCTCCATTAAGGCACTATTCACAATTGTACTGCAATTGGAAGAATTCGACCGAAGAAATTTTTCCATTTCTATTTAAAAAAAAAAATCTAACATTCCCTCATTTCTTCCAAATGAATGGGTTTTAAGATATATTTTGCATCGAGCAAAAAGCTGCAATAAATAACAACGTATAATGTAGAGCAAGATGATTTTTAAATACTAGTGTAAAAACGAACAAAGCTCACGGGTCATGACAAGATTGATTTGACTTGGGGAGACAAAAAACAGCTTTCACTATATGTTTCAGCCGTGGCAATTTCCTATGCATATCGCAATTGTGCGGCAGAATATAGGTAATTTACTCAGAAATTTCTAGCTACAATTTAATTATACATGCAGTATTGAGTACCTAAATCAAATTTTGAATTAATTTCTCGACAGAAAAGCTTAGCTTTTGGCTGTGTAAGGAAATTTTCCGCCATAAATATTACTGTTGATAAATTAGAAGAGAGTCTTAAGACGGAAATATGACAAGTTTTTGTTCTATCGCAGTGGACTTGAATACAAATTGAATTTAAAATGCCTTGTGGAAGTTGGTGGTCCAGATTGAATCATCCTTCTTTCTCTCTGAGAAAATTCCACTCGAAATTTTTATCATAAATGGGGCAAATACGAGATAAGTTCACTTTATGTATTTACATATTAATTTCACAAAAATATTCACTGGCTGAAGGAAAATTCCAATCAATACCCTTGCCCTGAAATTGGTCGATGATGATGGTCAAAGCTCAATTGTGAAATGAGAAGAGATGAAAAATACACCTCTTTTCGGAGTCAAGTAAAAAACCATTCATTGATTAAACGATGTAATGCCAAAGTGTAAAAAAATTAATCACATAAATCATTCACGAGATTCTTGCACATGCTCGCGAGCGCATATAAATATACGACATGAAATGAATAAACCAAAAAAAAATGGTAGCCACTCAGAGCGGGCAATTATATGAGGAAATTGAAGTGTCTGGAGAAGTGAGACAAAAAATTAGCATATACATAGCCTGAAAATGCAAGAAGCTGCCAAAGGGAAGAAAAAGTATTAATGACTTAACAGAATTTCGTCAACTGCATCATCTGCCCCCTCTTCAGTCAAAATTTCGGTCCAGACAATGAATGCACTCCTTATCGCGCCTCTTGAGCATCCAGAAGCGAGTTGAAGTGCAGACATCGGCAGACATGCACATGTCTTTTATGCTCGCCCTTTTATGTCGTGTACCATTTTGCACTTACCCCAGCATCCTCTTCGCAGGTCCACAAACTACTTGTCGACGGTGTCCCGAAGGGAAGTAAAATTTCACAAGAATGCAATAAATAAGCCAAACAATGCACAATTAAATTGCACACCACAATAAATTTCTAGTACGAATAGGAATCTCTGAAATAATAAACTTTTCGTCTTCTGCCTTGTTATTTTCCTGAGAATTCTCTCCTTAGTCAATTTATAATTTTCTTATTTATATTCAACATCTGATTGCATATTTTAAAGACAAATTCAACAAAATTTAGAGCTTTACAAACTGGTTTTCCAATCTAATGAAAAAATCGATAAATTCTTGAGAGAATTCAATCCTTTTTGTCAAATTATTAACGCACAATTGAAGACTGATTAATTTCGTGAACAATCTGAATTCTTTTTTCCGCTCTAACCTTACATTTCAATCGATTAAAGTGAGCTTTTGAGATTATTTTCACCAGACATGTGCATTTTTCTGCAATTGATGACGCATTGTGACATTTCACCAAAAATCACCTTCATCACCTTCTTAATTTGGCCATCCTAAATCTGTCTCTCTAGACGTGTTCTCTACACGTGACCTGATGAGAGATGGGCTGGAAAATGTGTCATATGAGGAGGCGGATCATTTGAGTAAGTGTCGTCTTTCACTATGAATATAATTTGAAAAGTCGAATATGCAAATGTGCTGTAATGTTTCTCCGAAAGTGCTAATTTGTGCAGATTTCTGAACTTTAAAATGCCACACACTTGACCAGAGAGAGGGAGATTTTGAGTGAAATAGTAATTTGCTTTGAAAATGAGCCATTTGAGCCATTTAGTGCGTGTGTGCTGAAATGTGGGCATCACAAGACCAGGAAGGTTATGTTGGATGGCCAGTGGCAAATCTTGTGCGCGTCTCTATCGTGGTTGTTGGGTGTTTTTTCTGCGCTCTCCACTGGAGGAAATGGTCTTAAATTTAATTAAAAGTTAATTAATCATTCAAAGATGATTTCCCAGGCGTTTCAAATGGCCACACATCTTTTTTCATGCTCACTTGTGGGAAGTCTATCGCGGGGTCAATTGTCTCTTTCACACTCGCGCAGCGACAGCGCGAGAGTGACGTCGCAATGGCATCCAATGGTGGTGGTTTTGCCCATCAATGGACGTTTGATGAGTACAAGAATTATGACTAGGGCATTCGATCTCGACCATCAAAGAGGCTGAGACGAGAGCGAGGACTTGTGAGATGAAGAGAGAAAACATGGTGAAGAACATTCCTCTAGCTGAGAGGAATTATTTATAAGAATCTGGCTATCTTGTTAAGGTTGGAGATAATCTCTCTGTTTTCGAGTGCGCGCCCCTTTTGTACTTGGGCATGCTTGCGCCTTCTCTGCGGCCACAATGTCCATCCGCATAAATGATGAGAGGCGGCGGAAGACGGAGGGAGCAGAGAAGAAGCATGCATGTGGCTGAGACGATGGCGCCAAAATCCTCTGAACCGAGAAAAAAACACAAAACTTTTGACGCCGTCACGGTTTACGAAACATCGCCAGAGATTCACGAGAGCGAAAGAGAGCCATGCAAGACGAGAGGATGAACATC